GGGCGCTGTTTGGGAAAGTCATGGACTCCTTCAGAAGTGTAGCCTTGCTGGAGGAAACATGTCACTAGGGCTGGCTTTGAGAGTTCGCAGCCTCGACCCACTTCCAGTTTCTCTCTCTCTGCTTTTGTTGTTGAAAATGTGAGCTCTCTATTTCCTGCTCCAGCAGCCATGCCTCCCCACCACAATGAGCTCTTATCCCTCTGGAACCATATGCCAAAATAAATTCATTCTTTCATATATTGGTTTTGGTCATGGTATTTTATCATAGCCATGGAAAAGTAACTAATACAGCAACTCTAGGAGTTTTTTATTCCACATGATCTTGTGGGACTTCTATCCTATGTGATGACTGAAACTGATTGAAATATCACTATGCAGTATATAACTGTGTGCATCGGTTTGCAGATAATGATGACTGGTCTGGATGGTTTGTGATGGGTGTTGTAAAAGAAAAACAAAACAAAATGAAAATCAGAGAAAAGACATCTGAGTAAGAGGCACATGGATGTATCTACGGGACAACACATAGCTTATAAAGACAGGATGAGCTCAAGAAAATAAATTGGGCCAGTCATTGACCCTGTCCAACTTCTGGAATTTGTCACTACAGTGCTGGGACAGTGGGACATGAGTAAAGTGGTCATAGGAGCAGGGTTTACTCATGGGCCCCATGACAAGGGCTCCCGTTCACCAAGAAACTGTGCAATTGATTAATTTTTCCAGGTCCCACCTTGAAAATGGCAATGACTCATCTTAACCAGAACAAACACTTTCCAGGTATGAATTTGCCATTTCTGGTCTCAGTACCTCAGCCAGCACCAATCTCTGAGTGTCTATAGATGTTTGTCCTCTGAGTGGTGTTCCACGTCTCACCGTAGAATAACAGGCACACTGCAGCAAATGAGGTGTGTCACTGGATTTTGCTTGTAGGATCCATTGATCTTATCAACTGCCTACATTTTTCTAGAAATTTCCAACAAGATAGAATAATGTGTAGCTGGCATAATTGAGATACTGCCTTAGGAAGAATCACTTGTAAGACTGAAATACTGTCTTTAGAATCAATATATACCCTAAAGTCACTGCTGTATAATGCTTTATCCTCAATAGGCAAAATCTATGGATCCAGGAATCGAAGGTAGACCTGAGTGACCCCACTTCCCACCCCTTCTCATGACCTGCCTGTGGGGATTGTGTTTCCTGTTCCTGCATATCGGGGTTGTGTGTTGAGAAATCTTGGCTCCTAGAGCAAGAATACATCCATATGGCTCTTAGAACATCTCGTTCCATCTCAACTAGTGCTGCTCTCTGTCTCTTGGCATTTGCAGGCTGTGAGATCCACAGGTTAGGAGAGTCCGATGGAAGGTATCAACCACCCTCTCAGGGTAGTGGGTCCTGGTCATCAGAGGAAGGTAGGGATGTTTCTCACTGAGTGTGCTTGACATCTAGGAGGCTTATTCATTGATCTTTTGGTGTTCCTTCACCCAGGGCTGATGGCAGATGGACATGAACAGCTGCTATACGCAGGCCTTCAGAAAAACAAGAACAAGGGGTTCAGCCCTCGTGTGTGAGGGTCTTAGTCAACAATGAAGTCAAGCCACCTGGCCCAGCATAAGCAGTAGCTAAGATTGGAGCCACTGTAGAATGAGGACTCCAGGAAGGCAAGTAACATTTATGGTCTCAAGACCATCCATAGCGGTTGGAAGAAGATGGCAATTCTGCCCTATTAACTTTCTTCCAAATTTCCTGGGGAGAAAAGAGGCTTGATAGACTCTTGGAGTTTTCTAGACAGTGTATGAGTCAATGGAATTGAGTAGAGCTTGTGGGGAGGGTCGTGATGGAGTCTGGTGTGCTGTGGAGATTTTTCCTTCCCTCCAGGACTGATGTTCTCCTTCAGATGTATGAGCTTCCAACAATTCTCAACTGAGTCTCCACCATGGGACCTTCCTTCAGCCCAAGAAAGCTGCCTTGGCCAGAGACCCACCCTGCTCCGAAGAGGTCAGCAGTCACACCCAGAGGAAGGTGCAAAAGCCGGGCCCCTAGCCCGTTCTAGAGCTCTCTGTGAGATTGACTGAGACCTGGATCTGACCACATCATAATATAACTTCTCCATTGTCTTCATTTTCCAGCACTCTGAATAGATATTATTCTAGCTCAGGTCCTGATTGCAGTCTATATAACAACAGCAGGCTTAAACATCTCCTAACTTCCTGCTCTGGAGGAAGGGTGTGCTCTGATCAGTTGGAAGTGAATTGGGTTCAGGATTCCTCAAAGGACAAAAAGAAAGCTTGGCATAGGGTATGTAAGAAAATGCTATTCAGCTCATCACAAATTTCAGGCACCTCTCCCATTTCCTCTCCTTTCCTGATGTTCTCTTTGGTACCCTTGACTGGCACCAGGGGATCTGCTCTTCCCTCTAGGCTGGGCTGTGACCTCTCTGGTTGATGCTTATCTCCTGAACACATAGCACATCCCTAGTTGGTGTTCGGAGCTGAGACCTGCTAAACTGCAGGAGAGGTAGAGGGCCTTTAACTGAAGTGAGGGCCATGACTTTCCTGGATAGGAGTCATTCTGTGGTTCCTACAAGAACTTCTCTCATATAGACGCTTCCAGAAATGTTTAGTGTTAAGAGTAGGGATTTCAGCCACTCAACCCCTGCCTGCCTTGGGAGTGTAAGTGTTGAGCCCTCTGACAGCCTTTCTTGACCCTATGGGTGGAGATCAGGATGTGACAATGAAGAGATGCTGTTTTCTATACTGATGATCTTGTAGGGTCATTGGTCAGGGCCCTTATTTTATTCTCTAAAACATCATTATCCCAACATTATGAAGACACAAAGTAACACTGTAAAGAGAAATCATTTATGGCTGTAAAACTGACATCACTCACCTCCGAGATCAATGTTCTCCCCAGTGCCCGATGCTGCATCTCTCTGGTCTTGTGCCAATGGTGACTGTGGTCTCAGGAGAGCTTGGTAAGGTGGTGCCCCTGGCATCTATGCAATGCAGGAGCCCTGCTGTACATAACATAACCCAACAAGCCATCAGCCCCTAGACTGGCAGCCACAGATATTACAGTTACACCAGCAGGCCAGCCATGACCCTTTTCTATCCTGGGGAACATATGTGGTCTTTGTGGCTAGGTACAAGAATCATGTGATGACAGAGGTGCTGGTCTTCCTAGGGTGTTAAGGAGAATCCCTATCTGAGTTGTTCATACAGGAAGAAGAGATCCTGCCCTTTCGGGTGGATGCTCTCAAGTTTATAAAGTTACTGTGTAATGCTCTCTGCTGAGACCGATGCGTGAGAGGGATGCTTCATTGCAGCCTGGTGGGGCTTGGGAAGGTTCTGTCACCAGCTTCACTTCTTCCTCAACAGTCGGCACTTCACCTGACCTTGACCTATTCTTGACCTTACTTTCTACCCACCCATCTAGCAGTGAGCAGGTTCCACCACCCCCATTGCTTCGTGCCCACCTGTTGCTACAGTACAATAGGTCTCCCTTTCCCTGTCACAGTGCAGCCCATAGCCACCTGGAGTATCTCCGGCTGTGAATCTTCCCTTCTTACTGAATGGAAACATTCAGTGCTTATTATTACTGAAGTGATCTTATGCTAGTTTATATCTGTTTTCTAAGAGTAATTATCCATAAGGGCTACCACTCGCTCAGAAAATCATCCTAACTCAGGAGATTACATTTTTTTGTTCACCTTATTTATTACCGTCTGGATGGAGCTCCAACATGCCACCTTGATACCCTGGCCTCATCCTCATTCACAGGTTTCCCACCATGTCACACATATTCTAACCCTGACACAGGGCAGGGCAGCCACTGAATCTGGCAAACAGCACACCCATCCCTGTTTCTGAATTGGCTGAAGCAATGCCCCTCCTCCACCTGAACAGAGAGCTGCTCAGAGCCCCCACCTGTCTCCATTTACACCCAGCTTGAATTTCAGCTTGCTCCTATGATGTTGATCTTGTCACATAGACATATTTTAGAATCTCCTAGGGGAAGACCTCTGGGAATGTCTGTGAGGGTGTTTCCAAAAGGGTTTGAGTGAGGAGGGAGGGCAGGCAGCACCGTCCCACGGGCTGAGGTGAACAAAAAGGAGAAAGCAAGCCAAACACCAGTGTGTACCACCTTCTGCTTCCTGAGTGCAGATTCAGTGTGACCAGCTGCCACCACCTGCTGCCACAGCTAAAAGTGCTCTTGCTTCCTGGCCTTCCCTCCATGATGGACCTATCCTCAAACCGTAAGTCTGAATAAACCCCTCCTTCCTTACATTGGTTTTTGCAGATATTTTGTCCAAGCACTGAAAAGAGTAACTAAGAAGGCTCCATTCAAACCTGTTGTCCAACCACTTGGTTTCCTGTGCCTGCAGAGTCTGTGTGGTCTGGGTAGGATGACAGAGCAGTGAGCGGGAGAATACCACAGGCAGTTGCAATAGGTCACAGGAGAGATGCGGAACAAACGTGGGGATGCCAAACATGGGCATGGTGGGGAAGGGTTCCTAAAGAGTGACCAACTGAGGCACATGGAGTTGGAACCTTGATAGTGGAGGCAGGAATCCTAGGGCCAGAATAGGTTTTCAGGTCCTGTCAGTTTCACCCTTGAATCTCTATAAAGACCAAACAAGCCAAAGGGTGATTTATCAGGAACACAGCCCACCCCACAAACATACTTCTCCCACCACTGCCATCTTCACCCCTCCAAAGCTGGGTGTATCTGTTGATCTTCACAAAAGCCACAACTGCAGATGGTCTAAGTTATACATGGATTTTATGTATCCTAAAAACAACATGTACTTCTGTTAAACAGCATGAGATACACCTTGCATCGAAAAGAGCAATATATTCCTGAAAATACAAAACACTTCCACACTGGTAGTCTTCCTAGGAAGTTGTGGGGAGGCCTGGAGGGGGTCTTAATCAGAACTCATAAAGAGCCAAGCATCTTCTCAAAGTTTTACATCTTAAAAATTCCACTTACTCAAAAGCAACGTTTATACTATTAATGTTTTATTAGAGCATATTAATTGTACAAAACAAAGGATCACATCATGACATTTTCAAACATGTCTGTAAGGTACTAGATCACATTTACCCCTGTATTATCCTCAGTTATACCCTGAAATGCTGTCCTCCACACTATTCCTCAATAATCCAGCATCCCCTTTCCTTTTTCCATTTCGGATTCTGCATACGCGAGGAGTTACACAATCTTTTGGAGTCTGGCTTATTTCACTGAACATGGCGACTTCAGGTTCCATCCATTACTAAATGAAGCACATTCCTTGGGGAATGGTGATGAGGTTATCTCAAAGCACATCTTAAGAAAGGAGCATAAACCAAGCATGTCTCAGGCTCTATCTTAGTTTCAAAAGAGAAGATTACTTATGGCTTTGGAATTGGAGGATTTTGGTCCAAGTGCTTCATGGAATCCTGGACCCACTTCTGCTTGGGGTCAGCACAGATCTCCTTGCCCAGCTTGGTCATGAAGCTGTGGGGAGAAGGGAAGCAATCAGGAGGATTCTCTGAAAATTTCTTTCCTCCCTAAATCTTCCTGGATCCTTTGCTATGTTTGCTACTGGGTGAAGCAGTCACTGTGGGACAAGAAGGTCAGAGGAAGAACAGGACTTCGGTGTGACTTTTGTTCTCAGTGCTCAGTAAAGATATTTTTTCTTTTGACTGAAGGAACTAATATGGCCAAGCAGCTCCCTCAAAGGGAGTTGGGAATAAATACTGCCTATTGTGAAAAATCATGGATAAGATTACAGACGTCAGACTGATTCTGTAACCACAATAGTTCTTTATTACGTTCTGGAAATGAGTTTGTGGGCTGTCTACTTACACGATGGCTTTCTGTGGACATTTGCTGTTGGTTATTCTTCTGTAGCTCTCCAATCGCTGCGTGGGGATCTTCTTAGTGGTCAGAATAAAGCAGCAAGCCGTCGGGACAGCTGCTGAATTTTAGGAGAGAGAATTGGACAGAAAGAATAAATCATGTGTGGTCTTTGGATATTTTCAAGGACGAATTTATGTGGAAGGAATGTGGAAGGTAAGGGCAGTTAGAGGTCGAGGTAGAATCTGTTGATCCTGAAGCCCTGTGCCCCTGCCTCTGATGTGGCATACCCTCCTCTCCTGTGGCCCCCTGCACAATGGGGACTTGTCATCTCTGATGGGGTTTAATGTACATTATATTGATAAACTGTCATGTGCTGTTTGAGCTCACTGAGGAGCTGGCTCAGGAATCAGGATTGCTGTACCCCACTCCCCATTTCAGACTCAAGCACGTGTGTCTCAAAGTGTCCTCCAAGACCCCTTGTCCGGGAATGGGCTGACTCCCCAACGCTGTGACAGGGAGGAGAGAACAGCAAACAGACCAAAGGTAAAAACACTGTGCTCTTGAGAACTGCTAGAAGGCAAAGCATTTCCATCAGAGGTTTCTATTGTTTATCCCCTGAGATCATATATATATATATATGTATATATATATGTATATATATATACATTCCTCAGAACCTTTGTGTTTGCTGTTTCCCGCGTGGTTAGTGCTTGCTGTTCCCTGGCCTGCTCTTTCTCCACTGTCTACAGGGGTCTCTTCTGTATTTCCTGAAGTGTCAACTTCTCAGTCCCTGATCATAGTATGTTCCCAGTCATGGGAAGCTCAGCCATGGAGAGAAAGCTCAACTGGGAACTCCAGTGGATTGCCTCAATTTCCCTAGTTGGTTTCAGTTGGATGTTGTGAGCTTCTCAATTTAATGATTGTACCTGCTGTTGTTTGTTCTCTGACTTGGAAAACCCACTTGAGGGGCACTCTGCTCTGTCCGGGACTCTATCTATTAAGAACTCCAGCTGACTCTTTTAACAGGGATTCCCTAGTGGATTTCTACTGGCTGTTTTGAGCACCTGGTTTGATGATGTTTTGCTATAATCTATCTATCTATCTATCTATCTATCTATCTATCTATCTATCTATCTATCATCTATCATCTATCTCTATCATCTATCTATCATCTATCTATCATCTATCTCTATCTAATCTATCTATCTATCTATCATCTGTTCATCCATCCATCTATCATCTATCTATCTATCTATCTATCTACCTATCTATCGATCTATCATCCATCTGTCTATCATCTACTATTCATCATCTATCTATCTATCATCTATCTATCTATCTATCTA